ATGGAAGAAAGTCCCCCATTTAGTACATTTAGTCTGACAGAACAACTTTCAAGGACATCTGGTTTGCTATGTCCTAGAGCTTTAGTAGTGGCCTGATCACCCCATGCAGGCATGGGCTGGGTTCCTTACCCCTCACAGTGCACTGAACACTTCCCTCTATAGCCACTTATTGCTCTTGGACAGCTCCAGGTCACTCTGTCTTTTGCCCTTACTCAGGACACATGTGCCTGGGACATCAGAATGTACATTAAAAAACCCACAGTATTCAGGATCCATAAATTGTACAACATAAACATACATTTTAATAAATTTAGAAGAATAAAAAGAATGAACATTTTAGAACAATCAGGACAAAAACAAAAGAGAGATATCCCCAGGGAGAGGGGAGGGAAGCTCTAAGTCTAGGCCGGCTTCTACGTGGCCTTCAGATATAAATTCTACCTCAGAATCCTCCAAGGGATCTACCTCCTCATGAAAGATAGGATTTGCTCCTGGAGTTGAGAGAGAGACAGATTCTAATTTCTCCATTGGAGAATGGCCCTTCTGCAGCAGGACAGATTTGTCCAGATGTTCTGTGAGGACAGATTCACTTTCCTGAGCTGCTTCTAACGTTTGGACCTCACTCATTGGTTCCCCTGAACACAGACTGGGGACATTTTCCATCAGCCCCACGTGTGCTACTCCCTCCAGCACGCCAGGAGGAGTGCTGATTTGACCCTTTTTGAGCTGATCTGGGCCGACTGTGAAAGTCAGAGGAAGACAATCACTATTACCTTCTTCTTTCTTTTGGGGTCCCAACAGGTTCAGCTCTGTCACATGTGGGGTTCAGAGCCAGTGGCATATCCACAGGACTCACAACCCGTTAGGGCCTCACTGCAAATGCATGCAACCCCTCTACATGCACATGCTTTGTGGAGTCCAGTGATGGCTCCAGATCTCCATCCATCACCATCCCGGACATCACCGAGGGCTTCTTTCTTGGCACATCAGGAGAAGCTGCTCTATGGCGGCCAAAGCCTGAGAAAGAGAAATAGGTAAAGGTGTTTGACAGTGGCCTCAGGATGTTAAGGTAGAGTACAAATTCCATGAGGCTCTAATGGAGGAAGCTGTACAAGTTTACTTTGGACTGAACACTGATGAGAAGGTAAGTTCTTTCCCAAGAGTGGCAAAGCTAAACTCCTTTCAACAATAGAACAAACAATGCCTGGCCCAGA